TATTCTCAATAACATACAATATTCCTTGTATTAAATTAACATGAACTATGCACAGCATTATATGTAGCATGTAATTTGTTATAATTGCATGTATTTTTCATATATGTGATTTCATCCTAATTATTAATCAAAATGGGTGTACGAATCAATATATAAATGAGTGTGTTCTCGATCAGTGTCGTTGTGTTTTGGGTTTAATAAATCTTCATTTGTATCAGGTTTTGTGTTCTTACTTTCGCGTCGCAGGAATCGCAGTGGTTCCTTCTTTTTACAAGTATAAGTACTAAGCGATCCTGATATCGTAATTAGCGACGACCCGATATAACAAGCAGCGTCCAATCAGAAGTCTTATGAGTAATAAATAAATAAATTAATATATTTGTAATATCTCAATGAGCAGAAAAGTTAAAATTTTCTGACGTTTCGTGACTCACTGTTGGCCACTTCTTCAGAGAGTAAAATATATTAATTTATTTATAACAATCTATCCAATGACCAATTCATTCGAAATTATCAAGTCAAACCATTTAAACGAAATAGCTTGGAAATAAAACCACGAAAAATATATTCTTACCACTAAATTTTTTATTTTGGTTTACTACTCAGTAAGAATATTTTAAGACTATTAGTTAGCACTTATGGTCAATCATGTTTCCTATTCTCTTAGATACAATTCTGGTGAAAAGTTTCTAAATTTATTACATTTTAGTATATTGGATATGTATCTACCAGCGGAAACCAAAACGGTGATTTTATCCTATTTAAATCCTACCAGCTTGATAACCTACACTATAGTGTTAGTAATTACAATAAGTCTTCAGCTTAGTACCTTTCGCTTCATACACTAAACACGTTTTTCACTGAGCTACTGAGTCCGAATAGACACCAACTTGTTCCACGAGTGTGAATGTATTAATATCCATTGAACGAGTTACTGATAACCTAAGTTCAAGGGCTCAGTAGATAACGAAAAGGGGGATGTACTAAGTATACTAAAACTTTTGACAATGTTAAAATGAAGTATTCTGTCCAGAATGAACATATAAGAATAAAGACTCATCATTTGGGGTTCTGAATATCAACAACGAGAAAATATAACTTCTTATCAATTCCATTATATCTTATATGCGTAAATTGATCAAGCCAGTAAAATAAATCAACTTTGTATTACGTATGTACCGTACTTAAGCCATATATCTTGTGTTTACAAATATTATTGTTACAAACAAAACTCAACAAGACCCTCCAAGGAAGCTTGGATTTGTGCCATGTCTCATCACTACATTCTTATAACATGCTACCAAAATATTATTGTGGGAATCAGTTGGGATGGATAAGTAGCGATGGAGACCATTCAAATGTAGTAACAGTCAATGTTTTTGAGTCTCATTATTCGAATGAACGTTAGAATGCATGGATATCTGAATAACGAAACATAAACAGGATGAAACATAATTTTTGAATTAACCGTTAATCAAGATACAAAAATATAGTGAAAGTTGTACCTCAAGACATTACAAAGGCGCTTACTCAGAGTATACAGAGACTAATCCAAAGCAGTGATGAATATCAATAAAATAAACCCTTAAAAATAGTTAACAGACATTTATTTATTTGGTATAAATATAAAAGCTAACTGGTTGGTAGCACCAACTATTAGCTACTTGCTTTGATTGTATGGTGTTTGCTCCATAATTCTTTGTAATCATTGATTCAACCATGAAAGTGCATTATTAAGGTATTACAATACAGGAAGAAAACAGTTATTCACTATGATAGCTGATTTCAAGTGGTTTCCTAGATAACATCATCATCACCTGATCAATACTGTTCCTACATTATAAAATCAGCTTGATTTTATGTGAAAGTTACTGTGTTTAGTAATCGGTCACGGTTTTACTACATCTAAAATAATCATTGCATCATTAATAATTTATTAATGAATTACTAATAATCTTTCTCATGTCATTTTATTAAGATTGAATTCTTAAGAAAAAGTCAAATTTGACATTTTAATTAAAATGATTTATGGAAGTGTAAATACAATTGTCTGCTGCAGCATTTATGTGTTATTTATCATCATATGGTACATCGTCTTTGATGCAAAAATAGAAAAAAAAGAAGGATAAACTATTAAAAAAAACACTTCTGAAATAATTTACTGATCGGTTTTGTAGTACATTTCCATTACAATTATATAATTAAAGTGAACGTCAAGTTGAAAGAATTTGTAACAGGTAACCGAAACTAGTCATGTTATCATATAAATAGTGATATGAAATTAGACTCAAAGATATTCATAATATTTTTGATGAAAATCATAGTTGTCATATATTATAATCAAATGAATTTGAATAATTAACATGGACGAACTCTAATTCAGTGTATGATATTGTGGTAACTGAATAACTGATTTTGACTTATTATTGTTGTCATTAAAAGTAATCATATATTACATTGAATTCGGTGTACATTGCAGTTGTACCAGGTCCCGCTAGGGGTGAATGCAATGTATGTGACATTTGTTTAGACAAATAACTAAAACAACAAGTTTAAGGCTTAAATCGAATGATTCTCTTCTTTATTCTCAAAAGAATAAAATGTAATGATTGACTTGTTATTCAGAAAAAAGTAGAGATCTAACCTTATTCATATAAATTTAGGATTATAGTAAACTGTTGACTTAAAAATGTTTTCAGTAAACCAACTATTTACGTAACGTGAAGGGGCATAGTGTTATAGTATGACTGATGACAGATGTATATACGTGTTTATACATAACTTAAGTTTATTGCATTTTGGATGTTCACAGACTTCAGAGCAAATGACAGTTAAATGATGCAAAGCGTAAAGCTACGTTTACTTGAATCGACCTGTTTTTATTGTCCAGTGTATAGTTTTATCACACTTATTCTGAAATCTACAATTAGTTCATTAGTGAGTACTGACCAGCGTGATGTCTGTCTAGTTTTTAATTGGTCCGAAAATATAATTAACGACGTTCCAGACAATGAAGATAGATGACACAGGTTCTAATCTTAAAGGAATCATTAGCTGCCTCTAAATGCAATGCATGCCTTATCGAAGAGTTTTGACTAAAACGAAACTTAAGTCAAGTAGGGTTGCCGTTCATCTACCTCTAATTAACTAAGGTCTCATAAAAAAATACTGTCATGGCAACAATCGACTTATTTATATATTACCATATACGTTTTTTCGAGAGTTACTTCAAGCTTCTTTTTAAAAAGCATGTCGCTTAGATAACAATTTTCGATGGTTGCTGACAGTTAGCTAAAAGAATAATCTTATTTATGTGTATAAGAATTATAAGCAAACAACTAAAATATATCGTCCTTGGTAAAGTTGATTTTTGGCTATCAGTGGATATCATGATGTCCGTTTCGACTTATTCGGAGCTTCTGATCTAAATGTATCTGCATTCCATAGTTGTTACTCACGTAACAAGTTGAACTCATCATATTTGGCTCAAATTATTAATGGATTATCCACTTAAATAATAGGTTCAAATAATTCGGATATGCTGGATAGTAAGAAAAGTGTATTTTGGATTCTAATTCTAACTATATACCATATATAATAAAATGATGCTATATTAGGGGGAATCGGTACAAGATATTCATACAGGAAGTGAGACTGATCAGTTGTAATACTGAATATCAACAAACTACTATCACTGAATTATTTTATTTTATCTCATTATATGAGCATGAAATAATTCACAAAACGTCTAAAATGTGATTTAAGTTTCCAAAAAGCGTTTTTCTTATTCAGGCAAAAAACGCTCTAAAACAGTGAACAACTTTTTTTCCTTCAAAAAGGTCATCTATTTGACACTAGGAATCATTTATCAAATATATTGTATTTTATTTATCTATTTTAACACATATATATTGGTACAAGGAGGCACCAAATACATATGCAGCACACAAATCTCATTCGATATGTGTGAGAGCTGTAATACTGCCCGGGTGCCCGAACCGAAGCTGGTGGTTTACTTAAAGGGCCACACCCCGAGCCTTTGACCTGAAGGTCTGATCCACAAGGCGGTGGAGCGTCGTCTGGAGATGCAGTCCCATGGAAGCCGGTGACCAACAATTGGTTCACACGCCATTTGTTCCCGTAGGATACTGGAGTCTATGCGCACCATTGGTTTGGAATCCGGTTAAAGCGCCGGACATTCGCTTTTCGTCCTCTTAGTTTCGTAAACAACACCCCAGTCATGAGAATGCAGTGAGTAGGACTTCCCTGGCAGAAGCTATATACGCGTGGCCATGTGAGAGCATTTCGAGAGGTAGAGCTGATTATCCCCACTCTCAGCCGTACCAGGGCATTTTGGGGCATTGTATTTTATTATCTATCATTCATAGGATTAAACTAATAGAAGTTATTCTATGATAATAAGTTAAATATTTTATCAAGAAACATTCTTCTCATTAATTGTATTTACTAATAAGAAATTCTTGCAAAACCCCCACTATTTTTCATCGTTAATTTAATGAATACAATAGTTATCTTAAAATAATTGGTGTATGGGGGAGTGGTGTATGGGTGTGTTTATCATTCTATAAAATAATCTCTTATCAATTGATATTATTCAATAGTCATTTTCGGTATTGTTTATTTCCTTCTTCTTCTTCTTCTTCTTCTTCTTCTTCTTCTTCTTTTTCATCTTTTTCTTCTATCATTATTATTATTATTGTTACTATGCTTACAAACATTTTTATCGACATTTTTAACCAATCAAAAAAAAGAAGAAAACTACACATAAATTTTGTCAACTCTCAATTATTTTTAACAATCTAATTTATAAATTTATTAAGATTTCATGTATAATTATCTAATGTGTATACCATTTATCATTCAATTGTTATTAGTTTAATTAATGTCATATGTGTTTATCTTATTTAGTTGAATAAACGAAAAATATTTTTAAAAAAAATATTTTTTTTTTTGAAAGTGAAAAAAAATTATTTATTCAAATGTTTCACAATAACAGTAATAATAGTAACCAAATGGTTATTAAATTTTTATTGATTCTTTGTTTATCATCATCACCATCATCATCATCATCATTTATATCATTATTGTCTATGTTTATTTTCAATTCATGTGAAGCATATTATTTACCAGTGAAATATAATTTCGATCATGATTTAATTGATTATTTAACAAATATGAGTGAATTAAAATATTATCCACGTCAAACAAGATCATGTAAGTTAATGTTTAGAGCGATAATATTCCTTTTATTTTTTTTTTTTTAATATCTATAAAAAGTAATTTATACAAATATTTGTCAAGATTAGAATGAATAGTTTGATAGAAATAGAGCGCCGAGTATTACTACCCTGAAGAAGTCTAGACAAGTTAGTTGGACGAAATGTTGGAATTATACTAAATTTCAATCGATGAGATTATTTCAAATATAATTTTCACATATAATGACTTATCCATGAAAAGGTTTAATTTGTTTTTCTTTAATGTATTATCTGTTATTAATATGGTTTGTAATTCGTTTCATGAAATTTTCATTTCATTACAGTATTACTAATAAATGCAATGAAAATTGGATAAGAATCTACTGAAATAAATACTTTTTGGTTAGTTACTTAAAACTTTTGCATGAAGATTAGTATAGTTGTTAACTGAAAATTATAGTTTACTTGTTTGTTGACAGAGAAAAATATCTGTAGTGAGTTTTTCTACATAAATAGGCAGAGAACCGTTACCATATAATAAACTTATAATAATTTGAAGTATTATCATCTATGGTAATTAAAATCAAACTACAAATCTTTTTCTTGATTTTAAAAATGAAAATATCATTTATCTGGATACATTTCATTGAGATATGATTCGTTCCAAAGATAGGTCAGTTGCTGAATATTGATAAATTCAAGGAATCATAAAAAAAATTAATATGTTGTTATTTTGTGGGTCTTGATGAAATTCAAGAGAAATAAACAACTTTTTAAAAATGTTGAAGACTTTATTGTTTATGAGATATTTTAGTAAGATCTAGTGTTAACATTAACATTCAATACTAAGTACATTGAATACTGTCAAATGTATTGAATAAACTTGACTTTTGGGATTTTTATTAAGTATTTGCATATGTAATAAGCAAAAATGGTATTATCAGAAACTATAAACAATATATGCATGACAGTCAACTTCTATGCAACGTTATCCTAAATGACATTAGTTAATCTTATGTGACGGTCATACTGAATGAAAATTGAAAATACATATCATCTTACTACATATATTTCTCAAAGCGTACCTGTCTCTACTAATATATTGTAAGATGTGGTAATGAAACTAACCAACTTTACATTACAACTAATTTGTGGAGGTCATAAATTTTTCCAGGTAGTCGGGAGGAAGTTTTGATAGTATGTTTAATGTTTGTACCATTGATATGCGAGCAATACCTATAAAGCTGGTAGTTTCTTAAAATATTAAAATTCATTACTCAGCTTCATTCAGTGCAAGTTCTAAGTAAATGGCTTCCTTTTAATTGCGTTTAGCAAATCAATCATTAAAGCTGAGTTACCCCCTGACTTTTATTACTGAAGGCTAGTATACTATAACTTGCATAATACAGAATGGTAGTCAGACGTTGATTTTTTTCTTAAATACCTTTTTCTTTTACTTTTGAATAAACTATTTCCAGATAACCTGATTAACAAATTTCTTAAGATAATATGAAACAAAATAAGACATTTTACTCGTTAAAAAGACGATTTTACATTAACTCTGGGAAAACTCAGAATGGTGTGAAACTGGTATAAACTGGTAAAACGCTTGTATAATATTCAAAATGGACAAAAAAACAACGGTCAAAATAGACAAATCGGAAGATGAGGAAAACAAAGATAGTAAGGAAGAAAGGATGTGAATTACACTACTCTGGATAATAAGTCAATGTTACCAAGGTTTGAATAGTTCAAATACACTTAGATTTTGAACGTACTGTGTTTGTCATATCTTTTGTGTCACTTTATTTGTTTTTTGCAGACATTTTAATTCAATCACCCTATACCTTTTCCGGTATTATTGATTTATTATCCAGAGTAGTGTAATTTACAGTGTATTTGCTTACTGTTTATTTTTGCTTGACAATTTGTCTAGTTGACTTAAATTTTATTTATATGTAAATGCCTTAACAGATATAGGTCTGTTCAGACTGTTCGAAATGAATTGCGCTAATATACTGAATGGTTCTAATAAACTTCATTTTCTCATTGTGTTATCTGACATAGAATTTTTACGCCATTTAATCAAATATTCTCACTCTTATTTACACTTTGTTTTCTTGTTCAATGGTTTGTTTTATTTATGTTAAATGATTCTTATTATTTGAAATATTTTCGATGTATACATAATATCAGGCCTTACGTATGAACGTATGAATAACGATAAACTTCACAACTCATGCCACTGTGAACATCCATAAGTTTTAGCAGGATAACGCTATAAACAATAAAACTAAAATCATCGGCTTTCACAACTTTGGTATTTTTTAAAATTCTTGGTTGATTTCAAAGTGTATTTTACGAGACAAGATTCATGATTGTCTCAGTTTCTTCTGTTGAAACTAAACTGTGAAGTAAGATTATTTACTGTAAAATCGAAATTGAGGAGAAAAAATGTTTATAATGATATGTTAAAAGACTAAATTATTTAAAGATGTTTCTTAGAAAAATAACTTTAGGCATCTAGAACTAAATAATACTTAACTGAAAGTAATACATGATCATTAGGGGGGTTTATGGGGATTACTAAATGTTGTTAAGATAATGAATCAATATAAGTTAAACAACCGCTGAAGATAATCGTTGTAGCTGATAACAGTGTCAATGAGAAAAATAACGATAGTAAACAAAGTTCTGAATTTACCCTGAACAAATCGTGGTATTCTCGGAATGCTTGTGTAAATTATGACGATTATTTCAATCACAAACCGACGTTACTAGGAGAAACAATAAAAATCGAGAGAGTTTGGACTGATATCTAGTTCTAATTTAAAACCCATCAATAGCCTACACTGCTGCAAACGGTTTATAAATATCCTCTTTTTATTTTAAGAAGATATGTTAAAGTAAAAACTATGAGTAAAACTATGGTCTCACAAGTAATCATACGCCATCAAGAAACTATTTTTTCACATTATAAAATAACAGTTACTTTTTTGAGTTCGTGAAACGAACAATGTTAAATCACCATTGAAAACCTAGAAGCACTAGAAGGCTTTTTCATCCTAGCATGCAACTTCTAGAAAGTACTCGATGACCATCTCCACGCGTGGCTCGAACCCGGGACCTTCGGGCTCACACGCAAACGCTTACTCTCTAGATTACTGAGCCAACATCCAACTGTGTTAATGTATAACTCCAACTAATCTACGATATTGTACGACTATATTCCATTGATTTTAAAGGGTTACTTCTTCACACCAGACATAGTTGAACTCCACTGGTCACGGCTTTTCATCAGAATTCCGACAGTCTATCTAGTGCTTTCAGTTTTTCAATGGTATTCTAACATTGATCGGTTCACGATCTCTACAACCTAATACTGATAAATAATTATTTTATATGACTTCTAGAATTACTTGTTTCAAATAAAATAACATATTTTCTGATAAATATAAATATTTTGTACTAGAAATATATAAACTGAACCATTGAATGCCAAATCACAAGAATAGTAGATGGCATCTTATGATACAGAAGTGTCAATTTTTTATTGATTGCTTTAATAAAATGAATGCTGAACACGAAATTCAAAAAGATCTGAATATGAAAAGTTTCGAAACTTAGTAATTTGATTTAAACAATTAAAAAGGAAAAATGATGTATGTATGTGTGTGTTTGTGATGAATAAATTTGTAGTTGGCGGTCATTTGTTGTGGATTTCTATGATTTTATTTATCTGGTTAATATATATCATCAGTAATACAATTTAGGATGTAACCTCTTCAAACCACTTAAAGTCGGTTGCATACTGCTTCTCTTTTACACATACACGTACAAGCAAAAAGATTTTTAAGTGTATGGGTAATAATCATATGCTTACCAGTAACTAGTTTTAAAATAGATTTCCTGGAGTCCTAGTGAGAAGCCATGATCATTGGAGTCTATTCCATGTAGGTTATGCGACAGTTATCCACCTCAGTCAATGAATGAAGGGTAGCTCAAGATCATGAACCGATTGAAATTAGACATTAATACTGTTGGATGCTGACTCAGTGGTCTAGGTGTTAAGCATTGGCGCGCGAGATCGAATGTCCTCAATTCGAGTCCCACGTGAGGGATCGTGGATATGTGCTTCTGAGGAGTCTGAGGAGTAGGACGAAACAACCCTCCAGTGATTACAGGTTTTCAGTGGTAGTCTAGATGAGATCGACTCGCAAATTCAACCGTAAAAAAGATTTTTATTAATTTGAAATGCGAATACTCAATTTTTATTTTGAATTTAAAATTTTACAGAAGGTGATGTATAGAAAATTTCTCAGCATGGAGCATTTTCGTTGTTTTAATGCTTTACTCCGTTTTTGCAGTGTACTATCTCAAAAATCTTACACATTACTTAGGAATAAGAAACATGGATTTAAATTCTTACAAAGCCGTTGAACTTGTGAGCAATGCTTTACAATGAGTGAATCAGTGGATGATTAAAACTGAGATCAATGTAACTAATGATGGAAAAAATACAATGATAGTATAAACTATTGCTTTATTTTTTTACCGGTACAATCAACTGTAGCTCAGTTGCTGCTTTTAAACTAATAACATGATAATAATTTGACGTGTTGTCATTCATCTGTGATTGATACAATGTCAGATATGTCATCAACGCCGTTCCTCTTGGCTTTATATATAATTTTTAAATATTTCAGTTTTTATTCATTATTGTTTAGTACAAGACAAATAATAGTAAGTAATTTTCGCATATGAACACAAAGATAGGGAAGTCATCAAAATAATCACAAGAAAAACAAGCTACCTTAGGCTCTTGTTCTGGGACAAACTAGTTATTTCAGATATACTTCAACTGAAAATTTACCAACAACATACGATAGAAAAACTTATTACAAAAACCAAATACTTTATTCATGATAAACATATTATCCTAATTTACCTTATAATGGAAATCGTCCCATTTTATTATCGAATGATTACTAAATATTATTATACAGTAAGAGTGAT